AATTTAATGCTTTGCCTTCCTAAGCATCTTTCACTTATATCTTTATTAGTCTTTCAATAGAGAAGTTTTTCAAAGGGTAAAGAGGAGATGCTAAACCTGTTGAGAGTGGTTTTGACAAACCAAGCTGATCTAAACATAGTACTATTTAGCAAATTTGTACTCATAGAATTTATTCCAATATCTAAAATAAAAACCTATAAAGTGCATTTCAAAAGACTAAGCAACGAGCTCTCATTCATCTGTTCTTGGGGAAAAAAACTTAAAACAATGCATTCAATCTGAAATCTCTGAGCTAATAAAGACATTCCAAAAAAGTAATTTTTAAAATGCTCAGAACACCCTTATGCCATGTTCAATCATTGGATTTTCTTTATAGTTACCAAAGAAAGGTAGTACTTCCTAGTTTGGCATTTTCTAAGATATATTTCTCTTTAAATTAGAGCACCCTGGATCAAACAGCTATAATGGTTCATTTTCTCTTCTAGAGAATCCATGTAGCACATGAGGGCAATCAGCTGTACTTTGTTTGTGCTGCTTGGTTTAGCCAAAATGCCGAGGATCAATTTTTAGCTGTAGGCAATTTGTAAATCTTATTTTAAATGACAGTTTTCAGAAAAGTGCAACACCTAGTGTCTAGATGAAAAGGTAGATAATTTTGTCATCTCCCCCAACTCCATTTCCCGTATGGGAGAACCTGGAGATCTCTCTCAGACAGGCTTCAGGGCTGCCAGAGAGCTAGCTGGGCCAGCAAGAACCAGAGCCCTGCCAGACTCTGCCCTTCCAGGACACTGCATCCGTCTGGAGATATAGTCCCTCCATCCCAACCCTTGAGTTTCTAGACTGTTACATGTCTTGCTGGGTGCGCTGTGTCTAGAGGTCCTGAACACCTCCACCCAGGCCATTTCTGTGCAGTTTATGTCAACTGGGAACCTTGAGATGGCATTTTCTCCAAGTATCAAAGCTTTAAGAATGGAGCCATGTCTGTCATTTCAATGCTTTTAATTACACAGTGAATCACAGAGCCACTCACCTTCTCCAGTAAGGAAAATCTTCCATTGTTCTATTCTTTCCTGTCAACTACCTTCACCAACAAGCCCATTTTTTTTGTTGTTCAAGTACAGTTGTCTCCACTTCCCCCCACCCCAGCCACTCCCACCTCCCTCCCAATTCCACCCACCCTTGGTTTTGTCCATGTGTCCTTTATAGTTGTTCCTGAAAGTTCCTCTCCCCTTTCCCCACTCCCCTGTCAGATTGTTCTTAATTTCACTGTCTCTGGTTATATTTTGCTTGCTTGTTTGCTTTGTTAACTAGGTTCCACTTATAGATAAGATCATATGGTATTTGTCTTGCATGGCCTGGCTTATTTCACTTAGCATAATGCTTTCCAGTTCCATCCATGCTGTGGCAAAGGGTAGGAGCTCCTTCTTTCTTTCTGCTGCATAGTATTCCATCATGTAAATGTACCATAGTTTTTTGATCCATTCATTTACTGATGATGGGCACTTAGGTTGCTTCTAGCACTTGGCTATTGTAGATTGTGACAAACAACCCAATTAAAAAATGGGCAAAGGATTTGAACAGACACTTATCTGAGGAGGATATACAGAGGGCCCAATGACATATGAAAAGATGCTCAGCATTGCTAGCCATCAGAGAGATGCAAATTAAAACCACAATGAGATACCACCTCACACTGGTCAGAATGGCCATCATTAATAAATCAACAGACGAGTGCTGGTAAGGATGTGGAGAAAAGGGAACCCTAGTGCAGTGTTGGTGGGAATGCAGACTGGTGCAGCCACTGTGGAAAACAGTATGGAATTTCCTCAGAAAACTAAAAATGGAACTGCATTTTGACCTGGCAATTCTACTGTGGGGATTATACCCTAAGAACACTGAAACACCAATCTAAAAGAATCCATGCACCCCAGTGTCCAACTGTTCTTTTTTAATTTGAAAAGAAAGGTCTGTGTATATGTGTCTGTGATGACCCACGATACTTGGTGTCACATCTAATCCACGCTGCCCGCCTGCAGAAACACGCTGCTGAAACCCAGTACTGACATCGTGAGGCACAGAGTATTTAAATTTTGCCAAATTCTCCATAAGAATTAAGCACTTACTTATTGGTACACAAACAACACAACCAAACTGATGCTAACATTTGGTTAGTGGCTGCCAATTTACACCTATGTTCTTCATTCATATATTTCATGTATTCTTTAGGGTCTTAATTTCTTGGAAAAATAACCACATTTCCAACAATTTATAAAGCATCTCACATTTTTAGTTGGGGCTGCCAAACAGGCAATTTTGAAACCACAATATGCATTTTCCAGAAGCCCAACTCAAAGCTGTGTGTATTCAATATATGTTAACAATGAGTGCTTGCTATTAACTATCAGTCCTGAGACACGCCACCTCTCATTTCTTGCATTTACTGTCTGAGTGGGAGGAACAATTTAAATGGGAAGCAGCTGCAAGAACAATGAACAAGTCCAAAGCCAAGTGACTTACAGAGTTGAGTAGTAAACTACACGGTGCAACTAACAATTGTATTAAGAAATGACAGGTGTGATCTAAGTTGACTACCTTCTACAATTAAAGATACAAAAAGCTAACCTTACAATAAAAAATACCCTATTAACACAATGGACTATAGGAGATATTTTCCCTGCCTCCACCCCACTTTCTTGGAAACAAATTAAAAGGAGCTAACTGAAATTTAAAATAGACTTATTTTGTTCTTTTGATGGCAGCCCACCTACCTCTTTCTTTCCTTTCTTCATAGAAACACGACTGCAAGTTAAAAAACAAAAACAAACCCCAAAAGCAGGTATATTAGCTTTCTGCTGGTGTGTACCAAGGATAAACTTAGTGGCTTAAAACAAGAGAAATTTATTACCTCCCATCCTGGAAGTGAAGAGACCTGGCACAGCATGACCCTCTCTGCTCAAGGTCTCACAAGACAGAGAAATCAGGGTGTCAGCTGCATCACGTTCTTGCCGGGGGGGCCTGGGGAGAATCTGCTTCCGGACTCCCTCAGGTTGGTTGTCGAATTCAGTTCCTTATGATGGTACAATTCGGGCCCGTTTCCTTGCTGGCTGCCCCCATTCTCGCCTTGGACTCCCCTCCTTCTCAAAGTCAGCTGTGGTGAGTTTGCTTCCCTGAATCCCATTTACCAGGAACAGCCAGTCCCTTTTAAGACCTCACCTGATTGGCTCAAGACCACAACCTCCCTATCTTAAGGTGAACTGATTTGGGACCTTAATTACCTGAGCAAAAATCCCCTACAGCTGCATGGAGGTTCGTGTTCACTGGGAGAAGATGTGTGCACGCCAGGATGGAAACCTTGGGGGCCACTGCAGAATTCTGTTTCCACCAGCAGGCAAATCAGGGTTATCACCTCTCCAACGGGAATTCGACTTGATCACCATTTTGGATTTGTGCCTCTTCTAAAATTAAACTTTCTTGACAAGAGGTCTGCTGTTCAGAATTCACAGCTGAAATGGACCTTTGAGATCATGATCTTTCAGGTTCCATCCAGCTCTAAAGCTGTATTTACCAAATATCAACTTTTAAAAAGGGAAAATATTCCATCTCCTTAGAGAAGTGTGATATTTGAATGATGTAACAGGGTACTTAGTTTCCTGGTTAGAGTAAGTTATCACTTTTATTTTAATTTTAGTTAAAGTTTCTGCAAATGTCTTAGCATTTCAATAAATGAAGTGTCTTCATGCTTCCCCTAACCCCCTTAGATTCTATACACTAGACTATTTTTTTGCTTATGTTCTTAAGTTCTTTATTTACATAGTTAAGAGTTTTATTGTCCTACAAAATTACAGACACTCCCGAATTCAAAGACTAATGTATTAAAATGAATTCTGTTATCTTATAATAAGACCTTGTCACCCTGCTTTTGCATAATTTGCAAAAAAAAAAAGAAGGCAGAATTCACCATTGTTACCCTGAACTTGAATGTTGACTTGACATTCCGGAACTTTGACATAACTTAATCCAATTCACATTTACTGAGAGGTCATACTGTTGACATGTGAGGTTTGACACCAGACCATATGTTTCTGAGGGGCATTTGTTTTTACCTGAAACACACAGCACAATATTTAGAGCTCACTAGGTTCTCACATGTGTCCAGAACAATGACAGAAACTGTACAGGCCCCTCTTTCCAGGAGCTTATCCTCCAGTGCAAAAGGCGTCAGCCCAGGGAGACCCATTTGGTCTGCTAACCCACAGAGCTGTCAGGTACTAAATACGTGTTGTTTTAAGCCACTACGTTTGTGGTGATTTGTAATTGTGGCCACAGAAAACTAACTCAGGGTCGCAGACTTGGGTTTAGCTCCAAAAAGGCTTCATGGCGGTGGCATTTCATGAGAAATGAAAGGCCTGGTGCATCGAAGGAGCCAGGTGCTGTTACTAATCACTGCTACTCAAAGTGTGGTCCCTTCTGAACAGCATGGTGGAGACCGGCCTTCTGCTGGAAATGCAAAATGTCAGGCTGGACCCCAGACGTACTGAGCCAGAGTCGGCAGGTTAGCAAGATCCCCAGGTGATCTACATTCACATTAAAGTTGGAAAGGCACTAAATTCGATTTATTAAAAATTACATTAAAATGTGGAGAAATCTTTGGTACTTCTTCCTGACACACAAGGTTGCTGGAAAAAAAGTATTTAAACACACCACAAAAAGGATTCTAGACATTTCTACTTCTCTTAAATCACACCGAAAGCCCTTCAGTAACATCCATTTACCCCTGCCTGCAGAGGGTTTTCCTTCTTTGAAAATTCCCATGAGTTGAAAGATGATACATGTCAAACATTTTTACACCTTTAGAATCCCTGGAATGGTACTCACAGAGCTGGGTTGTGGGGGACAAAACAATTTCATTCACATAATACCTTTTCTTTAATGACTTTAATATAAAAGACAGCAATGTTCAATATTTCACATAATATTAAAAAGTTTTAAAACCCTCTAAGTATTTAATGAAAATAAATTTATTGAAGGATAGCAACGACTACAAAATTAATACTACCAAATCATTACTGGTGCCTTTATAATTGAAGGGTAGGTGGAGAAAATACCAAACAAAAATACGAACATTTAAAACTACATTTTATCCAGCCTTTATCTTTTTGCTAATTCTTATATATATTAGAAGATATAGTCAAGATTTTTCTAAAGATATTCGACTAAAGTAACACTTCACAGACTTTATAACAGCCCTCCAGCAACTACACGACACGCGGATCTTCCCACCTGTTCAGAGATTTAACAGAGGGACCCAACAAGTCTCTCTAGAAGATTTGACTAAAGAAGAGAACATTAACAGAGAGTGAGGATGGTGACCAGAATAAGAAAATCAGTATAATCAAGAAAGATATAATTATTCATTACATAATTGCAGCTTGTTAGATGATGCAACTCACTAAGTAAGTTGACTGCATGATGATGGGAAGGGGTAATGTAAATCAAAGACCTGCTTTTAAATCTCATATAATAATCTCATTTCAACCAACCAACCTGTAAAGTACAAGCACTGGATCCATTAATGTTTTAACACAGGTTACAATACAAAGGTCACACTATTAACAATACATCTTTTTCTTTACTGTGCACAATTGAAGAAAACTTCACGAGTGTGCACTGTGGGAAGTTATGGTCAATGTATACAGTACAGACAAAACAGGCACGTCCGTCATTATGTTTTTAATAAATAAAAGCGCACGAGAAAGAAAGACAATAAGCAGCACCTGAAGCCTTTGACATCTGTAACTAAATGCTGGTACCCAAATGGCTAACTGGTTAAGTTTCACTAAGAGGCGCAAAAAAAGAGCCAATTTTTGACTTAACATTTTAATTCTAGTAGAGACAAGAGCTTGTCTGGGCTTACAGTCCTGTCGCCTGATGGTGAGTAGAATACGTCCTTCAAATGTCCTATACTTTGGAAAGCAGACCCGACTCTGGAGCACTCGCCTTAATTAGGTTCTGGATTTCCTTGAACTTTGGATGGTCTTTATCGGCCACCAGCTGTAGCAGAACAGCCTCGCTGGTGGTCACGATGATCCCAGTTCGAGCAAGACGCTTTAAGAAAGAAAAACAAAGACAGATCGAGATGTAAGCATGAGAAGAAACATCAGGTTAAAACAGCAGAAGGCATGCTGAGACACAACAATTAGCATTCTCTATTAATACCACGGTCCGTAGCCATACTATCAAACTGAGTGATGGGGACGGACTTCAAACTACCCACACCACGCACCTGCTGGGATCGTTCCCAACATTATACTATGAGATGGAAACAAGGAGAAGAAAACAGTTAGCCAGGGAGAGACAGGAAATCAAGGCTAATGACTGTAAAACTTTTGGAGACCGTTCTGTGTGGCGTAGGCCCAGCTCCCATTCGGAGATGCACAGGACCCATGCCCATGGACAGGTTCTCCAGTGGGGAAGCAGCCTGCATTGTACCTAGGCCGTTTTGAGACTTGCTTTCTGCTAAAACTCCCTCACCCTGAATTGAGACAGCAAGTGTTCACTGTAACTTCCTAAAGTCTGTGCTACGCCTCCCCAGTATGGAGTGTAACTGGTTCAACCACTTTTCCCTTTTTATTTGCAAATATCCCTCTTCTGTGCTGTGATTAGCGGCATCCTCTCCTTTGTTGTCTGTAAAAGGTCACCACCTAAAGTGAACCTGTGCACAGTGCATGAGGACCTTTACCTATCGTGCCCAGAAAAGCAACAAAAGCCTGTCAAGACAAGGGTCTGCACACTCTCCCCTTGAGAGTGGCCGAGGTGCTCTGAGGCTTTTTCTCCTCTTGAGAGAGAAACCACGCTGTCCCTTTTCCTCTACGGGACTCAGCAGTCCACGTGAATTTCTCCATGTGAATTTCTCGTATCTCATCCACAATGTTGTGGACCCCACCAGCCGGGGTCCGCATCATAAAACAATGACTTTCATTTCTTTTCTGTGTCTACAGACATGTGGTATGTAGCACGTGTGTCCTTCCACCAAGTAAGAAATGACTGGCGGTAGAAGAGCCACTGTGAGGTTTCAGAATGTGCCTCAGGATGGTAACAGAACCACCACTGCCGCCACCATCACTGGCCTTTTGGAATCCCTAAAGCAAAGTATATAAGTTAAGGTTGTGTAATTTCAATGACAGGTCAAAGAAACGTCCTTGCCAAATTGCTCCAGTGGAATCAATAAAAGAACTAAGGAGAGAAATTTAAGGAGGGGGAGGAGGGAAGGAGTGGAGAGTGGGAGGGAGAGAAGAGAGGGAGGGAGGAAGGCAAAGAGGAGAAAGTGGAGAAAATGGGATGGGGAGGGGGAAAGGAGGAGGGAGGTTAGAAGAGAATTCTGGAGTAGAGATCCATTTTTTGGATGTATTAGTTATCACAAACCCTAGGCAAAAAATCAAACAAATAACAACAAAACGGGCCAACTGTTATCCCAAGAAACATCCACTGTAAGAACCATGGAAGATGAGGTGGTTAGAGAAATTCTAGGCAAGTCAGAGGAAAAGACCCAGGTCCGTCTCTCCGCAGAAAGGAGCTGCTTGAGTAGCCAGGACACACATCCCTGTGAGCAAAAAAAGCAAATCCCCCTTCAGATGGTTGCAGAGCCACAGGCCCAGCCTTCCCACTGGCAGACCCTTTCCTGTTGTCCCCAAGGACACAGAAGGAAGCATGAGCAACAGCCTGCTTATGAGAAAGCAAGTGTGGACCTGGACAACCGGACAGCAGGGAGCACAGAACAGGTGACCAGGACTCTACAGAAATCAAAAACCAGCCAGGAAAACTGTAGGAAAGAGGAAGAAAAAAGCAAGGCTGCCGGTGTCCTTTACGTTGGGTGTTACCTCTTGAGTTTTTTAGACTTTTGGAAATGAGTTTCCTCTTCCTTGCTTTTCAGTCAACTTATGATACCATATCAAAACCTTTAGAAATCTCGCCCTGGCTGGTGTAGCTCAGTGGATTGAGCACAGGCCTGTGAAGCAAAGGGTCGCCGGTTCAATTCCCAGTTAGGGCACATGCCTGGGTTGTGGGCCAGGTCCCCAGTAGGGGACACAGGAGAGGCAACCACACATTGATGTTTCTCTCCTACTTTCTCCTTCCCTTCCCCTCTCTCTAAAAATAAAAATTTTTTTAAAACCCTTAGAAATCTCAAAGGACTGTGCCCTCGACTATGCCCTGGCCGGGTGGCTCAGGCGGTTGGAGCATTGTCCTATATACCCAATGTTGCAGGTTTGATTCCAGGTCAGGGCGCATACTGGGGTTATGGGTTTGATCCCTAGTCAGGGCATGAATATTTCTCTCTCTCCCTCCCTCCCTCTCTCTCCACAAGATCCTCAGGAGAGAATTAAAAAAAAAATCTCAAAGGACTATGAGCCTGCTTCTGACAGAAGGGCAGGAAATAAATACAGACCGGCTGCAGCCTGGCTGTGTATGACCAGTCGCTCAAACCTGGCTCTCGCCCCCCGCGGCCAACTGGCTGGCCTGCCCTGCCTTTCTTACTGCTCATTGCCAAGTCAACGGACTCCCAACGTCCAGCCTGAATCCAAATCTCACTGAATCCAAATTTGATGGCAGTGGAAGTGCTTCAGAAACTCGAGTGCCAACAAAAGTCCGTGGTCTAATCTTTCAAGTTCCTTAGTGAGGCAGGAAGGACAGAAAGCTGCCCCCAGGTCTGTGGAAGAAATCTGAAGACACGAGAAGAGCCCGTGTCCCCTGGGTCCTGCTGACCTGGGTGCGGTGTGCTCTAGGCACAGTGGTGGGCTAGGCTGGGATGCTCTGGGCACAGAAACACACTTCAGTAAAAACTAAAACCTACCCAACAGTACTTAGTTTCAAGACTGACACATGGCCAATACTGATTGGATTAAAAAGTGAGCCAACAATCTGAGTAGGGGAAGGCGTGGCACAGTTAATGCAAAGTGATTAGATCAGGCTCTTGGACCTTTCCACAGTGCCCCATGGGAAGGGGGCAGAGCAGGGAGAGAACAGCAGCAGTTTTCCCAGCCCTGGGTGGGTTCCTGCTTCCCTCCCTGAGCTACAAGGGCGCCTACAACACTGCTCCCAAACTCACTTTCTCTCCTGGCTCAAACAGGGCCAATGAAAACTACAGCTGTTTTAACTGCGCACGGGTACAGGGCTAATACTTTCCCAAAATTCTTCCCTTACATCAGTCCAACTAGGCCAAAGGAAAGGAACGATTTGTCTGACCCACAAACTAAAAAATGCAAGAGCACAAAGCCTGGACAGCCTCAGAGAGAGCAGAAGAAAAGGACAAACCCATTAAGTTTCCAAGCAACATTCACAACTCCCCAGAAGTACAAAGACATCAACTTCAAGAGAGGGTTTTATTCTATGTTACTTCGCATTAACTCCACAATTATTTGCTGAAAGAAACGATGCCTGACAGACAGTAGGTGCTCGAAAATTTCTGTTGAATAAAGTACACAACGCAGACCCTGGCAAAGAAGTGTCAGTAATGGCAACTACAAACCTTATTAGTATAATAATCTTAACGGGCAATACAGGTGCTCCCAGGAATTCTCCTCTGTAGTTGTATTCTAAAGGAACAGAGAAAAAGGGGGGCTAGCAGATTGCTGTTTACCTTTCCTAGTCATAAAATAAAAATTAACATCTCTCCCAATAATTTAGGGACAAACTGAAACACTTCTATATCACATTCAGACTAAGAAAAAAAAATCCGAAGCGTAACACGTCTCCCCCACTACCACCAGTTCCTTCTTCCCTTCCAACCTCCTCGCCTGAATCCAAGGCCATGCTGTTTGCTTCCCGCTCTTCCCTAGACCATACTCTTCCCTTCCCTCCTTCAAACTTCTTGGGACTAGGGTCTTGCAAGCTAACACATGCTTATACCTTTCTGACAGGACTAACTTCATGAAGACAACAAGTAACAACCATAAAAATAAAAGCAGCGGCTGACATTTGTGATTAGTGTGTCAGGTACTGTGCCAGGTGCTACCAATATGTTATCTCATTTAATCCTCACAAAAATCCTTCCACGTAGTGAAGATTCGTTCCATTTCACCAATACAGACATTAGGTAACCTGTCCAAGGACACAAATTTACAAAATACCAGAACCTGCACTCAAGCCTGTATGAATTCTCCACTGTTTGGACTCCTAATCACTGAGATTACAGACTACCTCTCAAGGAACGGGGTTCAGATGGTAAATAGCTATGGTTTTACTTTGAATCTCCTGAGAAGATGGAATTGCCAATAATAAAAATCTTCTGTAACAAATGCCATGATAACATGTCTAAAAAACTTAGATGACTGTAGAACAAAAGTCCTTGAAATGTTTTTACAAGCAAGGAAGGGTTTTGTTCCTTGTATGTTTTTAGTTTTCACGTTCTTGGAAATGCTTCCAGTTCCAGACCTCAGCAACACCAGAAAGATCAATGTCCACAGAGAGAAAAAGCTGTGAGCATCTGACAGTGGACGTGTTTAAGCTCAGATTACTAAGGAAATCTGAATGGCAACACTCAGTACCTAACTACCAGAGAACCCAATGGGCTTTAAAATAGTTAAACAAAACTTTATAATAAAACTATTTCCACCTGTAATCCCAAAACAGGACTCACTCCTTCAGGAAAGAAACAGTGAAGGGCTGGCCAACCAGGCCTTAAAACCAACGTAGCTGCCAGCCCTCCGCACTGACCCTTCTCTCCTCTGACACTTTCTGCCCCACCCCACCGCCCCGGGGAAGACTGTGGGCCACCCAGAGAAAAGTATGATCGCTTAAAGAACTTGGCAACTCAATCCACATGTACATTACTGTAAAAATTATTACAGAATTAGAATTAAACATGAAAGAAAGAGGGAGGGAGGGAAGGGAAGAGGGAGGGAGGGTCCATCTCTACAATATGGAGTGAATGTTTCAAAGGACTTTGTGCTCATTTGCTTTTCCCTAGTCTTGGAATTGGAAATGCTGAAGTATGACTACTGTTATGCAAGACTGACATAAAGTCATCGACTCCCCAATTCTAGGATATACATCGTGGCACTCCAGTGCAGAAAGGCACGGAAAACTCTGTGTGAGTGGTATCCAGTCAGACATACTTCCTGTCCCCAGGAATTCAAGTCTTGGGAAACCTAATATGAGGCTGAACCCGGCCCACTGTGCCCCAGGCTTGGCGAGACCTTGGTTAAGTTAAACCTTGGTGAGCTGTTTTTAATTTGTAAGTCTCTGCATGGCCTGGATTAAGTTTACTGGAATTCCTCTTAGTTCACGCACAAAACTACAGTAAAGTTATAAAGAAGCTCTTGGCATCACAAGTGATCTCTCTAAGGAGAGACCAATATAAAATAGGACATGGCAGTGAGACCTTAAAGGTGGGTCAACTTACAGGCCTGGCCCTGGAAATCAGTGAATCTGACCCTGTCCAGCCAAGCTCAAATTTGAGAGGTAAGTCTCTCATTGCTGTTAAATATTCAATGCTCCTCAAACTTATTGGGAAAACTTGGTAAATGATTTATTTTGCAGCAGGACAGTTACCTCGAGAGCAAACATCCTGTCCATCATGCTTCTAGATGAGGTGGCGTCAGCAACAATATGAACCTCAATACCTCGGCCAACGAGCTCCAGAGCTGTTTGTTGGATGCACACATGAGTCTAGGAGGAAAGCAAGAAATCGTACGTGATCACGCAGTAAACTCAAAGTATCCTACAAACGTGCAACCACAGTACAAAGCAGGAAGAGCACTACAGGTCTAACAATGCTGTCCTCCACCTAGCATTGCCTGTAATTTGTTAGATGATCTTGAGCACAAACAGCATCTCTGGTTTTGGTTTCCACTTTGTAAAGCTAGGAACTGGATTACATCGATGTTCCTCATACGAGGATCCTTGACCATATTCTTAGAGCTCTGTGAGAAATTTCTAAAAGATTCTCCTCTGTGTCATCTGGATGACCTTCACACAGCTGATGAATACCACTCAGTTTTGATGCCGCTCACAGTTGGGTTTATTTCTGAATTCACACCGAGTGCCTAACACAAAGAATGAGTCTGCAGTACTGCAGACTGAGAAAGCAGTGGGAAAACTGAGTGGTTACAAGGCAGTCGGGAGTAAAGACAGATCAAGTGAAAAATAACTTGTGACACAGGCAAAAAAATACCCAGTATATATCACCAGCAAGTATATTAAACGGGTTCCATCTTTCTTAGGACTAACTTGTATATCGTTAGTGGAAAACTCAGAGTAAAAGCTTGCTCCACCAATAACTGGATTATACAACAAATGAAAGCAGATTTCAGTTAAGGCCGTGATGCTAATCCTTATCCTTTTATGACAAGAGAGCTCTGGAGAATTACCAACTGACATCTCATTAAAATTAGCACTGGAGGACTGCCCAAAGATGATTTTCATCAGGCGTGAGGTCTGAGGATGATGAAGGAGCAAAGAGTGCACAAGTCAGTTAGTTAATAGCATTTGGTGTGACATTTATACAAATGGGCTTCCTCTCCACGGTCATTATTGAGATATTCACATGTATACCTAAACCAGAAACAGCTTTCTCCTGTTAAAACCCTACTACTGAAACATCAAAAGTGTATTAATTAAACATTATTTGGATTTCACTGTTTCTATGATTTTTAAAATACTTAAAAATTTTTAGTTTGTTGTTGAAAAGATATGAATAAACACACATTCTATTTGTATGTGTCCAAAAAAACCAAACAAAAAATCATTTTAATCAGCATTAGGACTCCATGAGGATTTTTTCCTTGAAAAGGTTATATATATGTTTCAAGTGTCAGTGACAATGAACTACATGACTTCTAAGGTTTTTCTAGAGCAAAAATAGGATCCAAGGTGAAATCTTACAACACAAATAAAAATAATGCTTTCAGTGAAAATGTGTTCCAAAAGTAATGGTTGAAAGTAAAGACTCAAGAATTCGTCAACCTAGACTGAAACCCAGCTCCATCCCTTAACTGTAGCATCTCTGCTTTAGTTTCCTCATCTACTAGTATGAGAGACCAAGATACTGAGCTCAGAGGGCCGCTACACGAGGTTAATGAATTAATACCTACAGAGTTTAGATCAGTGCCATGCAAATAGTCAACACTTAATAAATGGTTACCATCTACCAGGAGTGTCCAACCCTTGGCCCACGATGGCTTATAAATGCGTCCCAACACAAAATCGTAAATTTACTTAAAACCTTGTTTTTGCTCATCAGTTTTTGTTAGTGTTTGTGTATTCACTGTGTGGCTCAAGACAACTCTTCTTCTTCCAGTGCGACACACAGACGCCAGAAGGTGGGACACCCCTGGCAGATGTCACCTGTACCATGGTACTCTACACGCAAAAATGCATTCTGGGATCAAGTTTTCTACAAATGGTATATCCAAATGTAACAAAAGGTACTTACTTCTACTCCAAATAACACAACACTCCTGACTCCAGGAATCTCTGCTAATGCTGCTTCTACTTCTGGAAGTACCATTGAAAACTTGGTCTTTGGAAGGACCAGTTTTACACCTGTTAAATCAATTTCTTGAACAGTGCTTCCAAGACCTTTAGGGTACTGTTCTGTTACAATAACTGGAATTCCTAAAATCCGAGCCCCTTGTAACTGAAAAAAAAAACAACAACAACACATAAACAAAAAACCCACAGGTAATTAGCAATACACATATGTGTGTATATATGATGTAGCTAATGCTTCAGTAAATAGGAAAACACAAACATACCAATCTTTGTCCCACACTAATGATATCCCCAAAATATTTGATGGCTGGTCTGAACCTTTCTTGCATATCACAGCAGAAAAACACGGTGCTCAACGGTGTGAGATTTCCCAAGGTAGTGAGCTGAGGAAAAAAGGAAAAAAAAAGTGATTTAGCTCTCATTATACAATGACATTTGTTTTCAGTGGAGGTCAATAAAGAAAGAGAACTGTTCCTATGGTTTGACCCAGCAGTAAATTTCTACACCTATTACCCAAAAGAAATGATTTAAATTACAGGAAAAAAATTATTCACAAAGATGATCACTGCATTGCTTTTAACACTGAAAATTAGAAATAAATGCAGGGCCAGCAATACAGAAATGACTTCACAAATTTTAACACATTCACATGGCGAAACATTTTTTAGCTAATTAAAATAGTAGATGTATATATGCTCTCAAAAACTATGAACCACCTAAAAAGAAATGCTTATAATCTAATGTTAGTATTAAAAAACAGAGCACTATTCAACAGTATTTCAATAATGTAAAAAATGTGAATAAAAAGTAGAAGCAAATATATGAAAATAATAGGTAGTTAATAGTCAGGGGTATCAATTTTCTCTTTATGCCTTTCTTATATTTTCCAAGTGCTACTTCAAAAACATCTCCTGAATGCTATTTAAAAATATGTATTACTTTTATAATAAAAACAAGTGTTACAACAGTAAAAAACTTGATGATGGCACTGCTCACAAGTACAAAGTAAAATTTAAAATAATCTGTAGGGAGACCATGGAACATAAAACAAATCCAGATTTACTGCCTGTCACCAAGACAGAAACATCACGATGCTCTTACTAAGAATAACTAATGAGTTCACGGAGACTGCAATGAAGTGATAACAAGCACATCACCACTGTTAAATGGACAGACATCAATTTGATGCCTGTGTTTTAAAACATATTTATCAAAACCAGGAAAGCCAATGACTTTAGATGTAAATTGGGTGCTAGATTGCCAGGCTTTGCATTGCTGTCGTTCATTACTCTAACAACTTGGGCCCAACGTGAATCTACCAGAAAGTGAAAAATCACTACTGAAAACAAGAATTTAACCTCCCCAGATTCTTAAAAGTCCATGGTGCTGTTCTTTCCACCTTCTCAAGTTACAGAAAGCTGTCAAGGTTGCAGCCTGGTCCCAAATGAACCCACACCACTACTCTTCCTAGTCACCCCCAGGCCTCCCCTCCTTTTACTCTAAAACCACCTGCACCTGATAATCACGAATAGTTTTCTATAGGAACCTGTGCCCCAATTACACGGTGGTGGCTTCACCACCAGCCCGGCCTTAGGCTGCCTTAGTGCCTCTGTGCACGGCATTCCCTCAGCAAGCAATTACTATAGGAATTAAATGAATCATTAAAAGAAATCTTTTATCCTTAATAGCATGACTATTCTCATCAGCTTTCACTTTACTCATCTATGTCCTGGTCTGAGGGACACTGGCACTTTAATCTCCTTCTGGTATCAACTCCACACATGTGCACTTATTAACCACGTGCAGTGCAACACCAAGTTCACGTCAGAATGAGCGCCTTCTGTAATTCGAACACTATGTACAGGGGGTTTCTACTCTGCCAATAAAGTATAATTAAAATAAATATTCAAGCCTTTGAAATTATATACTCTATCTTTGGCTGCTTCCTTAAAATTTTAGTGGAAGTATTATGCCATCATTTTAGTCATTTTTTAAAAGCAATGAATTACACACACACACTCAGGGGACCATTTTAAAAAGAGTCACTTTTTATGTCAGCGTACTTTAAATTCTCAGTAAACATTAAATCCTGGTTACAAAGGCTCCAAATGTATACATTTTCTTCTTGTAAATTTGAACCATATAAATTCTCCTTAGTCATTTGCCATGTGTTTAGGGCCCACTATGAAAAGCAGTTTACCTGCAACTGGCCCATTTCAAATTACAGTGAGGCAACCCAGCCAACCTCGCCCCTCCACGACAGGGAAAACCAGCAAGCACGCAGAGTCCGACTCCAGGCAGTTGCATAATTGTGTTGGACGGCGGTGCACTAACACAGTTTCTACCTGCTTAGATCTCCAGACTCTCGCAGATCTCATCTCGGACTGCACCGATTAACTCTACACATTCCTAATCGGTTTGGTTGTCTGGATTCTAAATTCACAGATGGTTATGAACAGCAAATGCAAACGCAAACTGCTGCAGATAGGCAAACGGACAGATGTAAGAAATGAGAGATGACAGAGAAAAGATTCAATATGCATTAAAAGCATATCAAAACTTGTTCTACAATCTAGACCTCTAGTGAAGGAGGAACAAGCTGTACAAAACTTATAAATTGGGACAATATCATTTTAGCACACCCATTAGGAAAATGTTAAAATTATATTAACATTTCGGGACTACAATATAAAATGGTAAAAATGTTCAAACCTATTTTGGATACCTGAAGAAATAAAACCTCACCTACCCAGAAATCCGAAATATTCAGAGTTGCAGTTTACTGGGGCTCCTGTTACCTGGGCTTCCAGTGGTGAGGTGTCCTGTTCTGGGCAGGGGACCTCATTGGAAACATGTCGTATTAGAAAGAGACTGAGGTCAGAAAATGCAGCCCTAAAATCATCACCTCTCTGCAAAACCCTTCTAGATTAGGAGCTCATCACCTACAAACCTTCATAAACAAAGAAAGAAACCAAAGGGACAAGGTGGCAAGGCACATTTCGTGCACAGATAACCAGTTGTAATCCAGTGAGCAAAAATGCCTGTTGTCTCCTCTCAAGGAGCTGGAGTTTAACTCTTGACATTGCCTTGAATGTGACCTGCACTTAGTTTCTTTCCTCAGAGTACAGCACAGAGGGAAGAGAGTAACCGGGCAGTGGAGAAACCCGGCAAACACGCCCTAACCAGATGAACAGGAAGGTAATCAGTGATGTCATGTTGCTAGTATGTGGTCTTGATATAATGTGGGAACGACCTTCGTAGTCCTCTTCTCAAAACCCACAACTCCAGCCAGTCTAAGCATGAGGGAAAAAAAAATAAGATAGACCAAAACTGAGGTACAGTCTACCAAATTATCTGACCGAAACTCCTCCAAGGTGTCAAGGTCATCAAAGACAATGAAAGTCTGGGAAACTGTCAAGAGCCCAGAGAAGACTAAGGAGACATGACAACGAAATGTAATTAGTATCCTGGATGGGATCCTGGAACAGAAAAAGGGTGACAGGGAGAAGCTAGTGAAATGAGAACAAAGTGTGGAGTTCAGTTAATGCACTAATATCGGTCCCTCAGTTGGGACAAATATGCCACGGTGATGGGGGGGAGCCACAGTAGACACAGGTATAGAGGAACTCTGTGCTATATTTGCTGTAAATCTAACACTATTCTAAAGTAAAAAGTTTGGCTTTTTAAAAAAGGTCTCCCCAGGCCTTTTTAGTAGTTAGGGAAAGAGATGGTACTTTACGGATAAACTCCATACCTTACAAGCCAAGAAAGAGGCTTTGAGGCTACAAACAAATAAACAAATAAACAAAACCAAGCCTGAAAAACTTTAACCATGACCAACCAACTATCCATCCACCCCAAATCCACATGAATCCCAAAAGCTTTTGTTAAAGCTTTTATAGCTTTAGGGTTTTGTTAAACCTGACTATAGTTCAGGGACTTCTCTGACTCATGAATTTCTCTTAAAACCTTATAGACAACTACAAATGCTGCTTATAGCCAAACATTTATATCCTGCAGCCACGAGACAGCAAAACAAAAGTGGACTTGACCGAAAGCATTCACAAGCAGAAGTGCAGCATTACAGATAAATGCACACTCAGGAAGCATGAAGAATCACATCTAAAAAAACAGGCATGTATATCTACACAGCTTCATACACCTCTGTATATCTACACATATCCCTACAACATATACATACATAAATAATATATACTTCAATACACATAGTTAAATACAAAGAGCTGATCATAGCCACTGGCTTCCTTAAGCAAGAGTTTAAGAGATCAATTCCTAGTATAAATGTTTTGTCCACTTTCTTAAGAACTGTCACAGCTGGGGTGTGACCTTCACATTCATATCCAACAGCCTCTCCATCCCACGTGCCACCATTACCATTATCATGGCAGCATTCATCCTCCCTCACGACCACGTGTGTTCAGTTTTCTTTTCTTGCTTTTTCTTTCTTGATGCCGCCAGATCTTTAGTGTTAACATTCCCAGTTGCTTAGATCGTTTTTGTTTGTACTTTTGACATTTTTTACTCTATTTTTTCCATCCCCCCTTATGCCCTCTTCCACCTCCACACCCTACTCCCGCCTCCAATCACCACACTATAGTCTGAGCTCCATTTTCTAACAATGGCTTCTACCCCCCCCACCAAGGAGTCTGTCCCCTCCTTGCTCCATCCCCCGTCGTTATTCAGGACAGGCACATACAGGGTGACTGGCCCTGCTTAGTGATGAACTGTGCACCAGGTCTCTTCTCTCCATAGAAGTAATACACGGCGAATGCCACAATGTTGAATTGAGTCCCCCGAAATTCATACATTGAATTCCTAACCCCCAGTACTTCAGAAAGTGCCTTTATTTCAAAACAGAGTCATTGAAAATGTAATTACTGGTCGTTAACATGGATTAGGGTAGGTGCCTAGTCTAACATGACTGGCATCCTTATAAAAAAGGGCAAATTTGGATTGAGAGGACTTGTGACCAGAAGGCAGAGATCAGAGTGACATGTTTGTAAGCCAAGCAATGCCAAAGAGTGCCAACAAATCACCAAAAGCCGGGAGACAGGCAGGGGACCATCTTCACAGCCCTCAAAAAAACCAACCCCGATCTCTAGCCTGCAGAACTGCGAGAAAGCACACTTCTGTTGCATAAGCCACTACATTTGTGGTACTTTGTTACAGCAGCCCTGCTGTGAACTACCACAGTGAGTAAAATTTGTATCTTTAGGAATGATCATGGTTTGGAATTGTAAATGTGATGTTTTCAAAATTTTGGCAGTCTTTAGTCACAAAATAGGCATAATCTACTTAGGGTCCAGAGGAGGACATAGGGCATCATTATTTCCCTCAGAAGCGTTTCCAAGGAAATCTGCTCACCAGCTACAGTAAGACCTTGCTCCCCTATGAGCTCACTGAAAACAGAGGTCTGTGTGATGTGACTGCCCTGGGTGACAAGGCTCCCTGCACAGCACACACACGCTGTGGACACCGGAATCTGAGTCCAAATCTCCACTTCACTCATTTCAATGACGTGAAATTAGGCAAACCCATTGTGATCTCCAAACCGCAGTTTATTAATCTGTAACAATGCAAGAAAAAGAATCTCTACCTCATGCAGCTATTGCAAGGGTTAAATGAGCTGAGTGTAGTCCATCCATACATGTACTGGGCTATTGTGACACATCTCATGTAGGAAACACACACTATACTCTGAAGTTCAATACGTTAAAGAAACTTTTTCTGAGATGAGGTTAAAAGTACCATTTATTACCAAGATCCCTTAAGAAATACACACACACAGAGCCACAAATATTGCCTAACGTGTTAACACAGCCTGCAGAATTAAGAAAATGATTCACGGAGTAGATTTCCAAATGTCACCAAAAGACTTACCATTACATGATCTGTTCCTGGCAAAACAGGTTTGGGGCTTTTTAATTTAGGCTGCAAAAGAATACTTCTCTGTGCTCCTCCAACATACTCCCATGATAAATGTTCCTTAATCAAAATCACACCATCAAACTAGCACGCCCAGGGGAAGCAGATTCCTTTTCCTCTTCTTTACAAACCCTGCCTTCGCTCCCTTCCCACCAGGAACTCTGGGATCTCTTCTAGCTATAAAATGTCTATGCCTGTGTCTAAAATAATAACAGTGGTAATAAACTTCCAAAACAGTGAAAGCTGGAGCTGAATCCCTTCCCAATTAACCACCTCAGGAAAAGGTCAAGATAACCTTCCCAGGGAAGCTCTTATCTCTGCCCACACGGAGCTGCCAGAGCCTTCCCCTCTACGTGCGGAGGCCAAACCCTCTCACTGTCGTCTACACCAGGGCCATTTCTTCCACTCTTCTACTGGGGCTCCGCCTTCCCTGGTGACAAGCTGGAAAACACTGGAGGTGGAATGACACCAAATTTACAGGAGTGTCCAGAGATGAATGTTTCTATTAGTTAAAACATGGGAACTGCCTTTTGGAAAATCTAAACTTGTAAGTCATAAAAATGACCCAAATTCCTACTGCATAATCCTCTCATTTACATTTCTTCCCCCAGGTCTCAAAATTCCTTGGACTTCAAGCATTCTGACGAAGCTAAAGACACATAAACTGTGCTTGAAACAAGAGCTCTCCTCAGCAGCCTGTAACAGAATATTTTAGAAAAGATGACATTAAGAAGTTACTACAGCCTACTATTGGCAATAGGGGTCTTCAAGTCTGCCTACAACTGCTAACCAAACAGGGGTGCACAGTGGGGCAACAAGCAACCACTGTTTTACAAGGTCACTAGCAATGGCAGTCAGAACAAACAGGAGAGCAAACTCAGACCCCTATGTAAATGGAGAATCCATTTTAGAACACACACTATGTGAGCCAGGGCCACAGAGGCTCTGAGGCCTACGTTTGGAGAAAAATAAGTCATGTTATTTAAGCACCAGCCTACATGTGGCTAAACCTAGACTCTGTCCCTGCGTCTGGGAGAAGGGGCCTAGGATCCCAGTAGTATGGCCACCCTGAGTCTAAGTGACAGACCATCTATTCCAAAGAACAACAAACATCATCAAAACAAATGATACTACAAGCTTCAGTGTGTGGCTTATTTTTCATTCTCCTTGATATTTTCAGAATTCTACGGTTGGCTGTAAGGAAGAACCTTAGCATGCTTTGCTATCTCCACCATTACCGTGGAGCCTTGAGCAGTTCCCTGTATGTTCTGCTCTTCTGAAAAATAAAGAGTTAGATGCGGTAAGGAGCTTTGGCTCTTATTCATGTCGGCATTCACCTGCCAGGCAGTTATAGCCGCCACTCAGATGTTTGTGGAATGAATATGATCTCATCTAGCCATAAATGGTCCATGTCCCTAGGATTATACAGCTGTGTTCTAAACAAGTATGTAAAATGGCCATGAAAAGAAATAGCTTCACTTTTCTTCTGAGAGAGTGTGTGTATCTGTATCTTCTCATATAGATAGAAATAAGTATCAAGTATATGAATATGAAGTGGGACCCCCCAAAACCCTGGAATTATCTTCTGGAGGGCAGACCCCTTGTAGTACAGGCTTCCCCTACTAGGTGAGAGTTCTAAGAACCCATCTGTATTGGTGTACCAGCAGGTGTTGTTCTGAGAGGCTGTATTTGGCTTCAGTGATTATTCTGGAGACTCTTTCAATGCCCATTTCACGATGGGTGATTTACAACTTCACCTGCCCACAAGGGGCTGAGTGTTCAGGAGTTTTTGACCAAAAATGGCATAACTCCCTTGCTCCTCCCTCCCTATTCACCGGATCTCACCAGAGTGACTTTTGTTTCCCCCGATGAAAAAAGTCCTCAAAAGAAAACATTTGACCAACATGGAATAAGTGAAACAAAAAATGGCACAAGTATCAAAAGGCATCAAAATCGATGAGTTCAAAAACTGTTTTAAGCAGCGGAAAAAACATCCGGTAGGTGTACTGCATCAAACGGAGAGGACTTTGAAGGGGACTGCAGTTTAAACATGTAAGAATAAATACACCACTTTTTAATAAATAAATCCTGGGGGTTTCTGGTCTCCCTTCGTATATGTGGGAAGTGTGTGTGTGCATTTATGTATGTATGTGTATCCCTCCACATTCTCTATTTTCAAGGCACCTGGCTGAAGAAGTCAAAATATTATGATTACTAAAAGAAGGTAATATAAAATGTTCAATATTTAAAAATATAGAAAGTATTATGTAGCAGATACTTAAGAATTCTTGGGCTATTTAGTGAAAACGATTTTTTAAAGGATAAAAAATAGTGTTGTTATTATTTTAAACATAACCATAAAAAATTATATTACTCCTATACCAAGCAAAATATTTCAAGATCCACAAGTGACCTGAATTATATAATGCCTTTTGATAATGTACAAGACACTTCAAGTATACACATATGAGGATGTTTAATTAAAAAGTTGTCAGACCCAGGCCTTGAATTTTTCAAAATAAAAAAATTCTATCTGGGGGGGGAACTGTGGATGGCAGTGGGGCAGGGTGCACTAGTTTGGTATCCCATCTTATTAGGTAACAGCCCACCCTCCCTCCCAACCACCACAGGAAATCACTGAAATCATCACAAAACAGTCTGCATCCTCAGAACGGCTCCAGCCCTCCTCAGTCAGTATTTGGATTCTCGCCTTTATTAATGGATTTTTCAAAGGTGCATCCAACTTCTTAGGTATTTTCGCAGCAGTAATCTAAATAGACTGACAAGGAAGGCTGCAGAGAGGTGGCGGGCATGAAAACTCTTTTTTAAAAAAATTATAGTTTAATTTTTATTTTAAATTTATTTTTCAATTATAGTTGTGACATAGACTGTTATGTTAGTTTCAGGGGTTCAACACAGTGATCAGACACCCCAGTGACTGTTTTTCTAACCACCATGTAAACTCCTGAAGACATGAACGGGGATTAGTAAACGCCTACGAACCACAATCCTCCAAATTCTCCACGGGATAGCTGGGCGTCGGAGACCACCTGCCTTCCTCTAGGTTCTGCAGGAGTAGAAAATGGACCCTTAAAGCCTTTGTCCTCTGAGCACGGGAACGTTATACAGGTTAAAGTACCTGCTTTGGATGCTTCTGGTATGAGTGCTGGGATGATAGGAAACACGACCAATTTCATAGCTGGCTGTAACTGAAAAATAACCAACTGGAGCGTGATCCTGAGAAAACAATACTTCAAACCTTGAATCCCAATTTCAGTTTGGTCTTCCAGAGAAATGGCTTACCAGTTTCTCCACTAGAGGAAAATGTTGGTGTACTACCAATACCTTATGTTTTTTCTTTTCAAAAAGGTAAATCCTCCAGTGAATTTTCTGAAGGTAAACAAACAAACAAACAAAAAAGACTATTAAACAGCCATAGTCTTTTATTAGACTATGGCTTTTAAAAAAGTATTAAAAAGCCATAAAAAATACTCAGGTACAGTAACTTTCTCAGCCAGCACGACCAAGAAATCCTGGTCGAGCGAAAGTTAATATTAAGAGGGCATTGCAGTTCTGGAGTCAAATGGCTTTTTAAATGAGTCGGTTGACAGTTATTAGGAAGAGCTTAAGCAAATGGTTATTTTACTTTAGGTTAGGGGAGGCTTCAAGTCAAGAAACTGGGAAGAGGAGGGGGAAAGGGTCTGACTCCCTAAGTTTTGGGTTCCATCAAGTGGTGAACACAACTCCAGGGAACAAACCCTAAGGCCAACACTGTCCAATAACCTCTTCCCCCACCCTACTTCTGCATCACCCCTAATAAAAACACAGCCTCTATTGCACAGCCCTTTGGTTACGCAGGAGGATGGACTTGCTCCGGGCACACAAAGCGGAGGCGGGCGGCTGTGGACCACACACGTGGGGGCGTTCGCGCGCGCCGCCACCAGGTGGGAGGTCCCCGCCCCCGCCTGGTCCGAGGACAGCTGGTGACCGTCACCTTTGGACGGACACGTTCTCTGGGCCGTCCCCGCCGCTGGCCAGTGCGAGCCACCCTTCCAAAGCCTGCTAGGAGCTCAGGGCCCGGTCCGCGCGGCGCGGGGCACCTGAGGAGCGCGGCGGAGACAGGGACGCACGGGGACTCGGAGGGGCGGCGGGGCGCGCGGCCCTCTCTCTGGACCTACCTGTATCTGCAGCGGCACAAGGCGCACCTTGCAGCGCTCGCTCACCGCGAAACCCTTGGGCAGGTCCACGTACTGGCCCCACTCCTCAGCGAAGAGCTGCACCACGAATTTGCGGTGCATGTCGAGCTGGTCGCCGTACAGGCTGAGGAACTTCTGGATGAGCAGCTCGTAGCCGGCGCCGTGGGGCACGGACGAGGGCCGCGCGAAGACCGAGAAGCAGAAGAGCACAGGGACGGAGCCCGACGGGGCCCCCGCGCCTACGCCGCCGCAGCCGCTGGAGAGCGCCGGGACCGCCGCCTCCTCCGCCGCCATGTTCCCCCGAGCTTCTGCCGGCTCCGCGGCCGCCGCGCCCCGCCTCCCCGCGCCGCCCGCCCGTCCGCCCGCTGGGGAAGGCGAAGGGGCGGGCCCTGGCGGCCGCAGCTGGCGCGCGCTCCTCCCGGCCGCGGAGGTTGGGCGCTGGGTTTGGGGTGCGCGGGGAGGCCAGCGCCTGCGCCAGCCGCCCGGACCGCCCCCTCCAACCCCCCGCTGCAGCGCGGCCGCGGGGCTTTGGGGCGCCCTTTACATCCCGCTCCGCCCACGTTCGAATGAGTGGTGTGTTCTGAGAGTTCAGAGTTGTGCTTGGGGCCACTTGGCGTCTAGTCTGAACCTGCTGCGTTACCTGTTGGCCTGGTGCGGAGGTTTGCAGCCCTTCGCGAAGATGGCAGCAGTAATCCTCAAAGCAGGGGGCCAGGCTGATGCCGTAGGAGCAGCAGAGTTTAAAATGCTAACTTGGGGGCACTGAACGCTCAGAATTTCACGTGTTTGGGTTTTTTCCCCCAGTTCCATGGAGCATTATCTCTAGTAATGAATTTACACTTTCTGAGAGAACTTGATATGGAAACTGCAAAATAGAAAGTGGTTTAAGAGTAAAAATCAGGACTGTATATTTAAGCCGAGGACTTGTTTTTAAGCAAGTTAAAGCGATCACCTTCAGATGAAACAAGTCTTTGCCTTATTAACGCTGTAAGGTACTATAATTTACTGGAATTAGACAAGCCTACACTATGAACCAAGTTTCCTTAATATCAGGTCATGGGAAGATAGACTCATGAGTCTGAACATAAAATTATTTTAGATATTAAGGGCTTCCTGATCTTATAAATTAATAATTTTTAAGGCTTGGTTTCTCAACAGGCGTTGTAGATATTTGGAATAAACACTACTTTTTCATGGGGGCCCGTCTGGGTATTTGTAGAATGTTTCACAGCATCCCTGGCTTCTATCCACTAGATGCCAGTAGCACCCCATTCCTCACTGATCTTGTCAGTCACAAACCATTTCCAGGTAATGCCAAATATAAATTTGTTCCCAGTTGAGAACCGCTGCTTTGAAGTAATGCTAAGACTATCCTTTGGCCTTTATTGCCACTAGTACATAAGCTACTGAAAATGCTGGGGTTTTTTTTTTTTTTTTTGGCTTCTCATTAAACTTTGTTGTCTGAACCCATCAGACCCAAAATGGTATTTTTGCAGATATTACTCCATTGCAAAGTCTTATGTATACAGATGTGCAAATCTGCGCTAATAAGAGAAAAGTAGTTCCCGTAGGCTGACTGATTACAAAAGGTATCTATTCTGGGTGGAGTAATTATGAAAAGTGTTCCTTCCAATCTATAAGACCCAGCTGTCAGAACCCTGTCCTCTGCAGGAGTGCTGCCTGCCACCCAAAACCAAACAGTCATCATCCCTCATCTGACTATAATGTTATTTTCATAAATGGTGCCCATTCTTTGATATTCATACCCTTAAGAGTCACTTACCACATGGCAACCAGAGTAGTACTTTAAACACACACACACATATTTCAGAGTATACCATTTTTCTGTTTAAAATTCTCCAGTACATATAGACCTCAAGAAAATCCAGATGTTGGAATTAAAAAAATAACTTTATAGCAGCTGTTGTAAGTATATGTAAGAACATAAAGCGTGGTCATAAGAACGAACAGATGAAGAATATCAGCAGAGAGATGAAAATTACAAAAAGTAAACACATATAAATTTTAAAATGGAAAAATACAATATCTGGAATAAAAACCACACTGGATAATCTAAATATCAGACTGCAATTGCAGAAGAAATGATTAGTGAAATTATCACAAACCCCAGAACACTTCCCAGCACATACTAGTATCTCTACAAATATTTGGTGAAGGGTTATTATACTGACTATATCTTCGAGCTTACCATACTGAGAAAACAGAGGTATACTCACTGAGTCAAAGGTAATTTTTTCAGTGAATGCTTCATTTACATTGTAGATTAATACTGAGATAGCTATTAGAGGATTACTGGATTTCTCAGCAGGCTCCACACAAGACATTTTGACTTCATTTATGCTTTTTGAAACTTTGTGATAAGGAAAGCAAAAAAAGTCAGTTATGGAAATAATTTTTTAGTCTTCACCATGGAGAATTCTGACAGCTTTCTGCAAAGGAAAGGAAGGGTGTTGAGATATTATTTTATACACAGATGGAATGTGGTAAAATCAAGTGATTTGAGGAGCTACCAGATAAATTTTAGGACCAGAAGATTACCTAATAGAGACATATAGATAGGATTTACTATTACTTTATTACATCACCAAAGACCTTATGGTTGATTGCCGGCACATCCAGCTGTGACTATCACCCATAATGTGATTCAGACTCACATTAATATAAAAGTGATTGTTCAAAGTTTTCATCTAGTCATTTGATCAACAAATAATATACATTAAGAGTTCTGTGGTGAACAAGAAAGATAATGCTTTTATAGTGCTCCTTGAACTCACAGAGCTCACAATCTACCAGGGATCTGTAGACAATAAACACGTAAACAAATAAATGAATGAGATAATCCTTGTCAGTGAAAAGGCTGAGAAGAAAACCTCAGAGAGCACAGCTGGGAGTGGTAGGACGCAGGATCTTTTAAATAAATTGTCTAGGCCCTGGCTGGTGTAGCTCAGTGGATTGAGCGCGGGCCTGCAAACAAGGCAATCGCGGTTCGATTCCCAGTCAGGGCACATTCCTGGGTTGCAGGCTGGTTCCCTGCAGGCCAGTTCCCAGCAGGGGACACACAAAAGGCAACCATACATTGATATTTCTCTCCCTCTCTCCTTTCCTTCCCCTCTAAAGATAAATCTTTTAAAAAAAAAAGTAGATGGTGAGTAGGTGGTTGCATATATGTATCTGGACCTCATAGGAGAGGAAACCCATGATGTAAATATGAGACATCAGCACAAAGAAGCTAGTTAAACCATAGGAACAAATAAGATCACCTGCAGGGAGACTACAGCAAGGGCAGGAAATAGAGCGTGTGACAGAGTCAAACAAAGATGTCGAAGGTAGGGATAAGACTGATCAGGAAATAGATACTGAAGCAGGAATGAAACCCTGGACACTGATATCATGGAAGTTAGTAAAATATTACTATTGTATTGAGCCAAATGTAATTGCCTCAGTCACTTTCAACCTACAGACCTAGAAATTTTATATAGTTCAACCTCATAGAAAGAAAGAATGCCCAGCTATGTCAAATACTGCTGAGGTCAAGTACAATGAGAATGAGCAAAGAGAATAAGGTGACATAAAGGCTCTTGGTGACTTTGATAAGGGCAGTTCCAAGGGAATGGATGGGATAAAACCTGTTTTCTTATTGAGATTAAAGAGAAAATTGGTAGTGAGAAACTACTCAGTCAATTTTTTAAGAGAGATGAGGTTTTAATTTTTTTAAGGATAGAAAATGCTGGAAATGTTAGATTATTGTTCCACACTGGTGAGAATAACCAGAATAAAGGGACAGATTTATGGGGCAGTGGGGAGAGGCTAACTGAAGGAGTACAGGCTTTGAAGAGGTTGGAATCCAGAGCACAGAGGGAGTTTGGGCTTCTTGTAGGACCGGGAACACTAGTTCTGTTGAGAATGAAAGGTACGGCTAAACATACGGGCAGATTGATAACTTTAGAATAAGAAAATGAGGGGGTTGTCTGATTTTATTTTCTTTTTATATTGTATTTATATAACCGTATACCATTCTTAAATGTCTATTACCTTTAATTCTTGCTATATATTATGTATGTTACACATTACTATATATATATTACTATATAAAAGGCAGTCATAATTTTGGTCTAGTGTGGTATTCCTATCTTTAATTATTTTCTTTTCAAAAAAACATACTGTCAGAACCGATTTCTATTTTAGTACGTTCACCTTGCCATGACCATCTTTTGTAGATGAAAGGTATTTATAACTTATTATATTTCTGCATTTCAGAGTTTCCATGCATCTCATCAGGAAACATCTGTCGGATGCTGAATCTGCTTCATTTTTCAGTAAAGGGACTGCTGGAGTTGGAAGGAAAGAGCAAAGCTGTAAACTATTTCCCAAACCCAGAACTGTCTTTGTCCCCAAAGTTTATCTTGCTCTTCAGTCTTCATCTTTTCCATGTTTATTTATGATCTATGTACGTGACAGCAGAGGCTTCGTCTACCTCAACTTAGTCCCCAAAGCACAGTGCCTGTCAGATGATATAAATCCCAAAAATACTTGAACAAACCAATGAGTGACTAAATTTGGTTTATCCTTCTCCTTAACATTTCTTTTTAATTCTCTGTTTGAATGATCTGAAGCCATCTCCCTCTCGCTCCTTACAGACACTGTGACACAGTTATCTGTCAGTGTCCCCGGGGATTGGTGTCAGGACCTCGGCAGACACCACACTACATGGAAGCTCAAGTCCCACATACCAAATGTGCAGTATTTGCATATAACCTATGCATATCTTCTTGTATACTTCAAATCATCTCTAGATTACTGACAGTACTATGTACAATGTAAATGTTATACAAATTGTTGTTATTCTGTATTGTTTAGGGAATAATGACAAGGAAAAACATGCAACTACCAGTGTAGGCCTAACTATCTAGTACAAATAAGCAACAAATAGCAGTTTTTCAAGTATTTTTGATTCACAGTTCTTTGAATTAATAAATATGGAACCCATGGATATGGAGAGCCACCTATAGTTACATTTTAGTGTGTTCCAAGGTCCCTGAAGCTAAATATTTGACAATCTGAATTTATTTGTATCTACTGTGTCAATTACAGATACTTCTATTTTCAAGCAACAGAATGCCTGACAAATAGTTTACGTTTGCTTGTCACTAGAAGCCCAGAAGAGGGTAGTGGCTGCAGAGGGGACAAGAACTCAACAGTCATAGGTTAAGGTTGCTGTCTTTCTATTTCTCTCATGACCCTGAGGTAGGCCCTGTAATTCCAAGCATCACACAACTGTATTCAGCGGCTGGGAGCAAGGACAGCACAGGGGA